GCGCTGGCGTCATCAAAGTTACCCTCGCCTATAATCGATTAGTATGACGTCTAAAATCATAACAAGGAGTGGTCGAGTGTTCTCACCTTCATGATACATGTCATCCAGCGTAAGATCCCGCTTGCGTTTCTGAGCGGCCTTCTTTCCGCCCTTGGCACCAAGGGTCTCACCGCGTTCGATGGCTTCCTTCTCCTTTTGCTCGATGAGTTCGGCCTCGTCGTCGTCGGCGAGCCACAGAGCAATGTCCTTGGTGCGGTTCTCGCGAGCACGGGTGTTGAAGTCGACACCGCCAGAAGCACCGCCAGTAATGACAACACGCTGCACCTCTTCTTTCTGCAAGGCACGCTTGCGGATGCGTTCTTCGATGGTGCCGCGGGTGATAAGACGATAGACAGTGACCTGGCGAGTTTGACCCAAACGATGGGCGCGATCCATGGCCTGGGAATCGATGGTGGGGTTCCAATCGGAGTCGTAGAAGATCACAGTGTCGGCTGCAGTCAGGTTGATACCAAGACCACCGGCACGGGTTGACAGCAAGAAGACGAAGATATCTGGGTTGGACTGGAAGTCTGCGACGGTGTCGCGGCGGTCTTCCAGCTTGGTACTTCCATCTAGTCGGCAGTACTTGAAGTTCCGGTATGTCAAGTACTCTTCCATAAGATCGATCATACGTGTCATCTGGAAGTACAGGAGCACGCGGTGACCACCGGGCTTGAGCTCCCGCAGCAGCTGATCCAATTTGGCCAGTTTGCCTGAATCTGTCACGAAACGGCGCATCGACGGTACCTCGATGTGGCTGTAGCGGCCCTTGAGTGAAACCGGTGGCGGTAGCATAGGAGCGTGAGAGTAAGGTGCAGGATCGAGTTTCTTGATGAGGATCTGCTCCTCGAGTTGCCTGCTGCAGTGTCCAGACAGTGCTTGCCGAACGGAGGGATTGAACAAAGCTTGGTAGGTTTCCCGTGTTGTCTGTTGGCCGGAAGAGGACATGGTGATGGGAGGCGCTGAGGCTTTGGGACCAGAACAAGGCTCAATTAGTTGAAGGCCTTGATCTTCGAATGAGGAGCGTGAAACAGTCATGAGATCCTTCATTCGGCCCTCAACGGCGACATCTCGCACAGCCTGTTGATCATTACGATCAACAATATTCAACATCGAATGGGATAGAACCGAGTTCTTTGAATCGTCACTCTCATCATAGAGGACATTCAAGGCAGAAAGCCTGTTTGGCTTGCTGCGACGACGCTCTGCTCGCTCGTAGACGCCAAGTCGTGCCATCTCACTTGCTTCTCCCGCAGAAGTGTCAATGAAACGCAAGAAGGAGAATGCACCATTGTCATGTGCGCTCTTCTGAATATTTTCTGGTGTCCAGACGTTCATCAGCTGGGATAGGTACTTGGTTTGGAAGCCCACGCGGGGATTATCAGAACCAGGAAGATCAAGTCGTCCTGTAGAGCTGCACAATAGGCGTGGCAACGGGTATTCGATCAAATTTTGAGTCGAATAGCGAACATCGACAAAGTTTCCTTCACGAACGAAGGATGCAGTTTCCGCGAAAGATGCAGCTGAGAAGGGAGATTTTGTTTCGGCACGTTCGAAGAGATCGGGGTGGTTACAGACTTTGCGGAATTGCATAACCAAGTTCATCAGCGTGCTGCTGTCAGTGTCGTCGCCTGTGGCGGCCTTTTCAATAAGGTCGATGATGCTGACACGGTTACGTAGATTGGAGTACAAGGCACGTTGGCGGTATGTCAAGTCGCAGAAGATGTCCTTCTCAACCTTGTCTCCGAGTTCTTGCTGGACGTTCTTCTTGACACGACGCAACATGAAAGGTTTCAAGATCATGTGAAGACGCTTGAGCTGGTCCTCGTTGAGCTTGGTGTTACTCTGGGCGTGCGACTCGATGTCTTTAGAGAACCACTCGCTAAACTCGTCGTGGGAGTCAAATAGGGTTGGCATAATAAAGTGAAGCAGGGCCCACAGTTCTTGCATGTTATTTTGAATCGGCGTACCTGTCAACAGAAGACGATTGCGGCAGCTGAATCCAAGCAGATTCTTCCATCGCGAACTCGAAGAGGACTTGATAGCTTGAGCTTCATCAAGAATCATGTACTGCCACTTGACCTTCTGGAAGTACTGTGCGTCAAGGACGACAAGCTGGTAAGAGGTGACTAGGACATGGAATTCTGAGTCACGGTTATAGGTGATGTGCTTGCGATCCCAGAACTTTCGCAGGATCTTGCGGTCCTTGGCATTACCCCAGTAGGGAAGCACCTTGATGTTCGGGACGAACCTTGTAATCTCCTGCTGCCAGTTGTGTAGTGTGGATGCTGGCGCGATGACCAGGAAAGGACCCCAGATGTTATGCACCTCAGCCAAGTAAGCCATAACAGAAATGGACTGGATGGTTTTACCGAGACCCATCTCATCTGCCAGGATACCGTTGATACCCTGCTCGTACAAGTTGACAAGCCAATTAAGACCCTTAAGCTGGTACTCTTTGAGCTGAGCATTCAACATGGTCGGCTGTGAGATCTCAATGTCACCCAGACTAGTCGGGTTCTGGAAGTTCATCTCTCCGTCGTCAAACGCAGCCATATTGTCGCCCTCTCCTTGGTTGTTGAAGGCACGGGCACGGTCCTGGGCTTCCTGCACAGCGTTTTGCGCATTAGCCATGGCAGCTTGTTGCAGCACGGTTTCATCTTCAGCATCGAAGTCAAGATCCTCGAATGCAGTGGTCTTGGCGTTAGGGTTGGCCACACTGTCTGGAAGATTGATTGTGTGAGCATTGGGCTTGCCCGGTTGAATGGTCTCTCCGGTGGCAGTAACAACGCTGTCCCCTTGAGCTTCGTCGGTCTTGATCTTGCGCCCGATAAAGTGAGAGTACAGTTCTGTTTGCGAGATAAGGAAATTGAGCTTGCGCTTCTGTCGGTTTGCTTCGCGGTCGGCCTCCGCTTTCTTGGCTGATTCAAGCTCCTGCTTCTCAGCCACACGGCGCAAGTCGCGTTCCTCGCGTTCGTTGCGTTTCCAGAAAGACATCATTTCACGCATCGTCCGCTTGGCACGAGCTTGAGTATCCTTGGTGCTCTTGTTCGTGCGCTCTTGCCACTTGCGAGACTGCTTGCTGGCCAGCTGAGCCGTCTTGCGCAAATTCTCCTGGCGGGTGGAGAGGGAGGAGGTTTTGATGCGGTAGACCTTTGGAATATCCTTGCGTGCGATATCGCGCCAGATCTGCTCGTAGATCTGGTTGTAGCCCTTACTGTCGTAGTGTAGCTGCGAGATGGGAGTACCCTCCTTTGAACGTCGAACATCCTTTCTCGCACTTGGGGTGAGATACAGCTCGTCGTCCAAACCGGCATTCCAAGCTGCCTCGGCAAGATCCTTCTCGGCCTGCTTCTGCTCCTTGGACTTCTTGGGACGAGTGACAGGACCGGCGCGGCCCGACCTGCGTCGGCTGGGCGAGGAACGGCCGATGTGGAATTGACTCGTCGTCCCGCCTTCGAGATTGGGAGCAAGCGGGGTGACCTCACCGAGCTCATCCTGGCCATCGCCGCCTTCGAGAGCGCGCTTGGTGGTGCGGATTTTCTTCTGTGCCCGCTCGGCTTCGCGCAGGAACTTGGCCCTTTCTCCAGGTTCCTGGGCCTTGCTTGCCTTGCGCTCAGCCTCCAGCTTCTTTTGCATTTCTTGGCGCACAGTGTTTTCACGACGGCGCTTGCGTTGCATGTCCTTCTTCCGTTCTTTTTCATCCTGGATCTCCTTCTGTTGAACTTCGGCCATGACAGCACCCTCGTTGAGGACTCGGAATCTTTCGGTGCCAAGAATGGCCTGTCTCTCGAAGGATCTACCTAGATCGATGAGGAACTCGTTGCGGCGACGCTGAGTATGTCAGTATGGGATTGGCTGGACATGGAACGATTTCAGAGGGCCTACCTTTCGTCGCACTTCCTCTGCGCGGCTGCTTTCCAACGACCGTTTGTAGCCTTTCTCCCGATACCGCTCTTGTTCCGCGTCGAAGCCAGGATCTTCAACATCGCTCTTCTCGGCGTGATCGATCTCGGCTGAAGCCCGGTTGACCTGCTCCAGATCTACACCAGGAGGAAATGGTTTCCGAAGCGGTGCACGAGGAATGGGCGCAGCGTATTCTGCATCGGGCTTGACGAACCCATTGGTCGCATGTGGTGGTCTCAAGCCATCGATGTGTCTATCAAAGTCTAATCGATGCTCGTGTTTGTGATGAATAGCTACAGGCGTAGTGTGTTCCAGGTGCCGGTGTATAAAGACAGGGGGAGCATGCGGCGTGTGGGAGATCATGGGGACCGGGAGAGGCGATGGCTTTCTCGTAGGCTGATCGTCCGACGGGCCTGAAAGAATACTGGCGAACGACATGGGGTCTGCGGCTCGGGCGGGTTTCTGCGAGGCAGGGATGAGTTAGTAAATCAGCAGATATTGCAAGGGTCCGGGTAATGCCTACGGCTTCCTGCGGCGAGGCCGGTCTCGGCTCTCGCATCATCGGGGGTCCATATCCTATACCATTACCTCGCATCCGATATGGGGATTCGGACTCCCGGGTGGGAGATTGCGAATGGCCTTCTGGGTGGCTGGGCGGATGTCCATGTGGTGTCGCAGATCCATACGGCGAAGCACCGTTGCCCGCCATCACGGAGCTAGAATAAGGGCGCGGAAGTGGGAGCTGAGAACCTGGTGCCGAATGTCCCTGGTATTGCGAAGACTCCAGGTGCGACGGGTGATGTGGCGCACTCCCGTTCAAGGGCGGCGGCAATGTAGACGGCATTGGGGACGCGTGCGAAAAGTGCGGGCTTCGCGCGACGGAGGATGGACCAAATGCGGGTGGGGTCTGCGGAGGATGCTGGTGGTACTGCTGCGGCGGTTGCGGTGGTTCATTGCTTGGGTAATACGGGTGGTTCTTATTCGGAGAGGTGTAGGCCGGATACCGCTGCTGCTGAGTCGGGGACTGGGCGTTGTATGGCGGAGGGCCCGTCATGATGGCCGCGGTCCCCGGTTACGGGTCGAGCGCGTCAAACGTTGGTCACTCGGGTCGAGATAGGGTCGGGGCGGGAATTGAGGAAGAAGAGTCCAAGACCCTACTCAGAGACACCTGTCAAGGGGGTTCCGGCGTTCTAGTGACGCGGTGTCAGTTGTTGGTTTCAGGTAGGATCTGTTTCGGAGTGAAGAGGGATGAAAGAGAAGAGATGGAGGAAGAAAGCGAGCCATAAATACCTGATGGAGGGATGGATTCGTTTGTGGTGGGAAGATGCAGGAAGAAGGGAAGTTTCCGTGGAGCCCAAGAAAGAGAATGCGCGGGCCTAGGCGAGCTGATGCAGGGGCGGTGGTTGAGGATGAGAAGGGAGAGATGGGGTGAATGGGGGAATGGAGGAATAACTGAGGACGAAAGATGAAGTCGGGTGAAAGAGGGGAAGACGACGACTCGTAAGGGTAAAAGGGGAAAAAGTTGACGAGATTTGGCATTTCTCGTGAATCTCTTCCTCGTCTGGGGTATTTCACCAACTCCGGCATCCCGGGGGTTAGATCCGAACGGGCTTTGTACAGTGGAAAGCGGTGATTTCTGTGTTTTAGACGACTATTTTCAATGGTTTCGTGTTCTTCTCTATCGTTTTCCTTTCCTAGCTGGTCGATAACTCCCAGATTGTGCCCCGATCTCGCTCAGAGTCCATACAAACACCCCGTGGAGCACAGAGGTGGTGAGGACGAACACCATCAACATGATATGCCTTTTTCCAATGCTTTCAACAGTTGAATATCCCTAGTCCTAAGTGCAGGGGTCTAGATAATTAGCGAGTCCTCGCTTCCACTCGCATTTGACGTGAAATCTGTTTCGCTGATCCGAGTTTATCGTGAGATCGCCTTATCCACCTTCTTGTAGAGACCAGTTCTATTGGATTCAATGCGATTATAGTCGGTCGGTCCTTGTGTTTATATTTTAGAGCTTGGGTTGAAGATCAATATGATTATCCTATTTAGCCTATAACTAGTTATACATCAGGAGAATTATTAAATAGGGATTTATTTGTATATAAGAGATCTCGTGGGTATAGACAGCTCCAGAGCTACCAGCTTATAAGTTATAACTCCAACCTACCACGTTGAATATGAAATATTTCATATGCAATAGATCTATATGCATATACTAAGATTCAACCTTATAAATAGCCAAGCTAAAGAGCTTAAGGATATGTATAGCCTCAAGTCAACCACCAATCTCAGATCGAGATTTCCCGGAAGAGGGAAACTGGGATGAACTATATAAACCATATGTCAATTAAGGTCGAGACACTGGGTATATATACTGACTGGAATCTCAGTGATATTTATAGCATCGGCCATCGACAGCTTGAAATCTCTAAATCTCCGGCCATGCCCCGCGTGTCGCATGGCCTGATGTTCGAGATGACGTCCTCCACTCCCCATATGGACGTGGACAGCACAACCTTGGAATGGCACAATGTCTAGACATGTTCTGTCATAGTTGTGATCGTCGGTCTTCCCATATGTGTATCTGTATCCAATTGCGGTTCGTCTTTTCTCCAAATGGGCTTCGATGGGCAGGTTCCCGTTTCATGGATGCATACAAGCTGACATGGAGGGATTCTTTGATCTCACCGGACACCTATTGGGTATGTGGTGGCGATAGAGATGGACAGTTACGAAGTCGTGAAGGTCTAGATGTTCGGACAATAACCATGCGCTGTAGACGGAGTACTGTATACCGCAAACGGGAGCCGAAGTGGATACAAAGCCGATTATGTAGCTATTCCACGGTATTCCAAGGTTATTGTGTGAGAATGACAGAGATACGCCAAATCTACCAGAGAACCGGATGGATTCGAAGAGCTCACGGGGTTAAAGTAGCCGATGCCCTGATCAGGCAATGCTGCGCTTGCTATAAAACACCTGCGCCGACATGTATTTTCCTGTGTTACCATTATCTCTCACTCAAACACTTTCCAGACAATTCTTCCTACCTTCACACATATTCCACCATTTAACCAAGTATTCTACCCCCACCAAAATTACCAAAATGACCATCCCCGAGACCCAATGGGCGCAAATCATCGAACATAAAGGCGAACGACCCGTGTACAAGCAAATCCCCGTCGCAAAGCCGGGCGCAGATGAAGTCCTCGTGAAGATGCGATACACCGGCGTGTGTCACACCGATCTCCACGCCATGAACGGCGACTGGCCCCTCACCGTGAAGGATCACCTAGTCGGCGGCCACGAAGGCGCCGGCGTTGTTGTCGCAAAGGGCTCTCTCGTGCAGGACATTGAAATCGGCGACCACGCAGGCATCAAATGGCTCAACGGCTCCTGTCTCGCATGCGAGTTCTGCGAGTCCTCCGACGAGCCTTTGTGTCCCCATGCCCAGCTGTCTGGATACACCGTTGACGGCACGTTCCAGCAGTACGCGATTGGTAAGGCGGCGCACGTGTCGAAGCTGCCCAAGGATGTGCCGCTTGATGCTATTGCGCCTATTCTCTGTGCTGGTATTACTGTCTACAAGGGTCTCAAGGAGTCCGGTGCGCGCCCTGGTCAGACGGTTGCTATTGTTGGTGCTGGTGGTGGTCTTGGTTCGCTTGCGCAGCAGTATGCTAAGGCTATGGGCTTGCGCGTTCTTGCTATTGACGGTGGCGAGGAGAAGGAGAAGATGTGCAAGGAGCTTGGCGCAGAGGTATGCTTTTCTATTCCGATCTATTTCTTGGATTTATGCTAATATATTGTGCAGGCATACATCGACTTCACCAAGTCTACCGATGTCATTGCAGATGTCAAGGCTGCTACTCCTGGCGGCCTAGGCGCCCACGCTGTGCTCTTGCTCGCTGTCTCCGAGAAGCCTTTCCAGCAGGCTGTCGAGTACGTTCGCGCTCGTGGTACTATTGTTGCCATTGGCCTTCCCGCCCATGCGTTCCTCAAGGCCCCTGTTTTCGAAACCGTTGTCAAGATGGTTACCATTAAGGGTAGCTACGTAGGTAACCGCCAGGATGGCGTTGAGGCCATTGAATTCTACGAGCGTGGCTTGATCAAGGCTCCTTTCAAGGTTGTTCCCCTGAAAGAACTGCCTGATGTGTTCAAGCTCATGGGTAAGTTTGGATGTTTCGATTACTTGATATGCCATATGCTAATCTATGTTATCCAGAGGAAAACAAGATCGTTGGCCGCTACGTCCTCGAGATTCCTGAATAGATGCATCCTCATCTATGCGTTGAGTCTGAAATGAGGCTCAGAAGGGAAATTGCTTTTGCGAAACGACGAGGAACGACGAAGAATGACGAAGAATGACGAAGAATGACGAAGAACGACGAAGAACGACGAAGAAATGATAAAGAAACGAAAAACAAACGAAGAACGAGAATTGACGTCTAGAGACGATTGTTAGCTGTTGAAAGGGTGATTTTAGCGATATTGAAAGCCAAATCTGAATCTGGATTTGGAATTGAAACCTCCAGTGTCTCCCAGCCAATGGGGATAGAGTAAAAATCGATCTTGTAGTATTGAGTACATGAACTTGATCTATAGGAATACTTAACAGAGCCTCACCCAGCATATCGGGCCGAAGTCCCACCAAAAAGCCACAATGTCTATCTATATCTTGGCACCTATTTAGAGTCCTGCTCCAAAGCCTTCCCTTCAGCCTCCGGACTAACAGTAGTCTGAGGCCCCTTATACGTCTTCCTCGCATGAAGATAATAATAAAGCAACGCCCCAAGCCAAAGACTCCCATTAATAACAACCGTATAATTCATATTTTGAGCTTCAAACACACAGTTAGCAAAAGCAAAAGCACCGAGAATAGGAATAGCATAGTGCAAACTCACGCGATGGATTCGGTCCCTCAGTAGGAATCATAGTAAGAACAATAACGTACATCATGTAGATGACGGCAACCCACCCGATGGGCTTACTGAGATACGCTCCTGTATAGAACTCACCGGGGACGAAGCGATCGCCGCCCCAGAGCAGACGCGCCAGGATGGGCGTTAGCCAGGCGAGGTCGTTGCCGGCTACGGCGAGCGAGAAGAGGGCGTTGGCGGCGGCTTCGTCGATTAGGCAGAGGAGGCCGATGATTATTGATGCGAGCACTATGCCGCATACCATGCGGACTGGCTGGTAGCGTGTGAACTTGCGCTGGCTTACTTTGCGGAAGAAGGAGGATAAGGGGAGGGCGCCGTCGCGGGAGAAGGCCCAGCTTTGGCGGGAGGCGGCTAGGACCTGGGTGGGTAGAGTTAGTTAATAGGATTTGGGATTTGGGGGTAGATAGTATGTTAGCATTGGGACTCACAATGCTCAGCCCCATGAAGAATTGCACAATCATTACCACGACCATGAAGCCAAGGGCACCGCTTTTGCCGAGGGCGTCGTAGTAGATCTATAGAGAACCCAGGTTAGAAAATACGACCCCATAAAAGAAAGAAGACGAAAACATACCTGAGTCATAGGCTGTCCATACTTCGAGTTCAAAATCCCCTCGATATCCGTATCCATCGACGCCGCAATAACCGCCAGCGAAACAAACCCAAGAATACCACATAGTCCAGCAGAAGAGATAATCCCGAGCGGCACGGCACGAGCAGCATGTGTCGCCTCCTCGCTCATATGCACACAGGAATCAAACGCACCAATAGTCCAGATAGGCGACAGCCACGCCAGCATAAACGCCCATCCAGCGGGCCAAGTAGTGAAGTTCTGTACCTCCCCAAAGACATACGTGCCCGGGTTGACAGGCGGGCTATTCTTCGCTTTGCCGATGGGCAGGGCGATGACGGTTGCCACCACGAGAGCGATGTTGAGGAAGATACAGGCGGATTGGATCCTCGGCATGATGCGGGCGAAGAAGATGGCGATGAAGCCGTGTGCGACGACTGTTGCTGCGTATGTGCCGTATATGACTGGTCGTGTCGCGGACCATTCGCCGTCGCGGGCTAGCGAGATCACTGAGAGGAGCATGTTGGCGAAACCATCTGATGGGGAGGTGTTAGTTATGGGCTTTTTTTATTTGGGCTTGGACCTGACTCACAGTCGATCGAGCATACGCCTCCGATCAGGCCGATGGTATTGCTGTATCCGACGAGGAAACTGAGCGGGTTCTTCCATTTCTCGGATGAGTAGTAGTGTGTCCAGAAATAGAGTCCGCCTGCGGTGGGCATTGCGGATGCCATGTCGGCCTGGTAGTTATTAGTTCTGTGGTTTCTAGGGCTATATAAGGAGTAAATCATACCATTGCCAAGGCCACAAGGAAGATGAAGCAACTCGCAACGAACCATCCTAACCAAGGAGTCTGTTAGCAATTGCCAGACGATACTCCTGAAAGAATAGATGCATACCCTATCCATTATGTCAGTCACAATGCGAACCAATTTCAGCCTGAGGAGTATATTACCCAAACCATTCCCACAGGACCAGCGGGCATTGAAAACGCCAACGAAGATGCAATGGAGGGTAAAAGCCCCATAATACTAAAGGCGACAGCAAAGATCTCAATCGTCGAATAATGGCGCCGCAATTCCTGCTTGTACCCGAGTGTTGCTGTTTGATCCGTCAGTGACAAGATCTCATATCGTTACATCAATTCCAATAAGCCGGGGAATATACACACCTAGCAACTCGGTATCTCCAGCCTGGGGCATCGAGTCATGACCTGTAGCTGTCGACTGACGCCTCTTGACCTTATGGGACAACACTTTCTCCATTGTATCATCCATGGCTAGGGTAGGAATGGTTATAGAGGAAATGAAGTCGTGGATAGGCAAACAAAAGCCCACGCGATCGAAGAGGAACACCTAAGATTCAATGGAAATAGAGCCTTCGGGATAAAAAAAGAAATAGGAGGTGTAGGCCTCAAAATATTCCGATGGACACGAGTACTATAAGCACCGACTCAAGAGTCGATAAGGTCTAAGTGCAGATCCTTGCCATCCGACCACGGTCTTGATAGACATAACCGTTGAATACCTTCCAATTCTAGAATACTACAAGATAACTAGATCGATCTATCTGTACTGCACGGTGAGGGGTACATGACACCATTTTGCATATCACTTCTATATTCGAGCCAACTTAGGTTAGAGGCGGCTGGACTAGCGGAGCGCGAAAGCATAAATACAAGCTTGTATGTGATCTTGAAACGTTCCGTTTCCCCCCTTAGGGTTCATCCCTTGCTGCCTTTTGATCGCTGAGTAAAACTCAGTACGTTGCTGAGAGTATTGTAGGTTGTTTGACAGGTTGCCTAGGTGATCGGGAACTTTCAATAGTCCTTGATAGGCAGCTTTACTACTATGTACTCCAACATATTCAAGTCGTAGACTGATCATAATGTATGTCCCTATAGGAAGGATATGCAAGGAAGCACCCTCAATATCTGCGGGCCTCACATTGCCCTGTTCTACTTCAATTCTTATGACTGCCTAGTACCAAACCCAGGTATATGTAGTTACTCCATACAACATTGTACTTACCTATACTCCTTGCAGATCACCAAGTCTAAGCCGTGCTGACATCTACTCCTATAAAGCCCCCTTCTAAAAGCGGCGCAACCCGGTTCAAAAACATGCCAGCACAAGCGCAAGCCGCAGAAGCTAATATAGGGATCAGATGACAAGAAGATAGGCACGGGCGTAAGTGTGCCCGAAACAAGCATGGCGCCGTATGTCGGACCTACGCCATCCAGCGCAGATAGCTGTCGCTCATCCGAGTGGGCGATAAGGCTGGAAGAGATAGGAACGCACGGCTGTACCTACCCAGGGCGAAGCTTTTGCTTATCGCAGGGTGTTACGTTTATTAAATCGCCATCGACGGAGACAGAGGGATTGTTCCTTCGTCTTACGCTTTTTGGATTGTCTCAGGTCGGGTGTTTTGACCATCTTGATTCTTCCCTTTACAGGTGAGAATCGAGATATCCCGAGTGTGGGGTAACGGGTAACATCGAAGTGCGGAGAACCTTGGAAAACCAATGCTATGACTGTTACTTTTACAGAGGGTACTTGTAGTTCCCACTTGAAGATCTTGTTGACTTCTATAAGTTTAGACCGGGGTTCGTTTACGCAACCTCATACAACCAAGCAATCAGGCTTTGGATGGAAGCCAAAATGCAGAAAAGCAGAACATTGACAATGCAGACCCAAGGCTAAATATACACCCACATCAAACAAAACAAAATGGAAGTCACTTCCAACGTATCATCATCTCAAACCGCACCAGGCCCAGGTCCCTTATGATTCGACTGGTCTAGTAAAAGCGTGGGTTTGATATAGTCCTCGTCAAGCTGGCGGAACCAAGCCGCATGGTCGCCCGAAGCACCACCCGAAAACAGTCCCCGCATCGCATCCCGTGCGGACATACCCGCTGGCTGGTGACTGGGCGAGACGCTGGTCGATGCCGCGGCACTGGTGGGTAAGACGGTCGAAGGCTGAGGGGGCTGGGAGGCGGATCTGCGGAGACGTGAGGCTCCGTTTGCAGCCGGCGGGAGGTCGTCGTCAGAGATGCCCTCAATTTCAAGATCGAACTCGTCAGGGTGAGTGTGATCGTTGGAGCGACTGGCGCCTGAAGGTGGCAGGCCGAACTCGTCGTCGCTGCCTTCCCCAGCACTCGGCCCAGCTGCGCCGTTGAGTAACGTCGCGGTGGATTGGCGGTCGCGCCAGGATTGATCTTTGTTGCTGTACGCGGCGGAGTACATTCTTGTGTGGGTATAGGGTGGGCTTGGGCGGCGGCTGTTGCCGGTGGAGTAGCTGTGTGTTCGCTCCCCGAGTCCAGCGCGTGGATTAGCCGTGACCCCATCCAAGGGGATCACCGAGTCGGTGCGTCGCGGGATGTATCCCAGGCTCGTGCCGGAGCGCTTATAGTAGGTTCCGCCATGGGTCACCTCGGTGTCGAATTCATCGTCCGAGTCAAGCTCTTCGACCACACCCGTTCGGATGCCGAGAATCTCCAGCATGCGTGCTGTGGTTCCGCCGAAGATGATCACGGTTAGCACCACGACAACAAGTACTGTCGCACGAAGTGCGGGCGCGTTGACTCCCGATAGACCAGCTGCTAGAGCAACACCGACGGCACCACGCAATCCAGCCCAGAAGAGCATCGCTTGATAAGCGAACGGCAACTCGTCGGGAACCTCCACGCCACGGCGGCGTGCTCGATACCGAATGAACCAATTGATAGCCTTGGAAAGTGGGAACACCGCGAGGTATCGG